GTAAAATGGGGAGATTGATGAGTGGGAAATGTTTAAGACACTTGAATTTGTTACGCTGATGGAATTGTCAGATAATTGTGACCTAGAAGCCTATGACTGTCTTTTCCTGTTAAGTGTTTCTTCTTGAGAGAATAGACCTGGAAAGGCTTCATGTAATAAAACATGTGGCTGCTTTTCAGTACTCACTGGTATTTTAGCCAGGGAAGAAAAGCAGGATTAGTTCTAACTTCCTAATTAAGCAGCCAGGTGCTGTGGAGCAGAACCACCACTTTCCTGGGACAGAGGAAGGTCCCAAGCTGAGGCTCAGTACCAGGCTGTCACTGGCTGCTGGCTGCATGTTGCTTCACGTCATCAATCACAGGGTTTATTTTGCCTCCTTGTTCTCCCTAAAAGGCTTATGATACCTGTTTAGCCATAATTGGAGCATAGTTTGGAACATAAATTGGAACATAAATTGGAAATGCTGTGTGAACAATGAGGTTTGATGAGTGTCTGCATTGGTCAGAATCTGCACCCTGATACTCAGTCAGTGTGTACTGCAATCACAACACCAATATGTCCTGTGTTCTTCACCCAGAGGCTGTGCCAAAGCTGGGGAAAGTGTGCTGGTGCATGGTGCCAGTGGCGGGGTAAGTGTTCCAAGGAGGCAGGTGATAGGGAATGTTGCTCTCTGTCCTTGCATCTGCTTGGGGTATGAGTTATGGTCACACTTAGATCAATAAAGGGGTTAGCAAATTAGGTTTTTATTTCAGACACTCTGGGACACATTGCTTAGAGCAAACTCCGTTATTCACAGTAATTGTGAAACTGCACAAGTGCTGGTGTGAGGTCCTCAGTCAGAGGGTCACACACTGAACAGGTGGAAGTTGATGTGGAAGCTTTGTAGTAGGTCTAACTCAGGCAAAACTGATAGCAGAAAGCTGTAATTTTCCAATATGTACAAGTTGTTCTGAGTCCTCTGAGAAGGAATCAGCGGTGCAGGGCAACTGTGCATTTCTGGGATGTTTCTACCCGTGAGCTGACAGCCAACTGAACAGGGAGAGGCACTGGAATGGATAAAGCTGTGACTGAATACTATGTGAAATTGCACTTCTAATTTTCTTTGGTTTTACATGACAGGCTAATTTTAGATCTCTCTCACATAACATTCTAGTTTAATTTATCTCCCACACTCTGCCCTTTCTTGCTTGGTTTCTGCTGATGCACCAAACAGCTGCTATGAATGGGCAAAGTTTCAAAGTTTCTTTAATTATTTGTTAGACAACAAAAAGATGAATTCAGATCTTATTCTGAGATACTAGAATGGCATTCAGCATCATTGCCTCTTTTTATTTTCATGAACTAAATGTGGTGCTTCTGTTCTTACTGGAGTGCAAAGCTGGTAGAAGACACTGAGAATTTGCTTTAGAAAGAGATAATTTAATTTGTTTGTGAAAGGTGCAGAAGTGGTTTTAATAAAATTTATGCCTGCAGATTTTCTTTGCAATGTATAACGCTGGTATCAATAGCAGGTGATTCTGTGAAGAGAAGAATTTCCCTGGCTTTGTATCAAAAATGTATGGCCCAGCTTTGACAGACAGACAACATTCTACATTGATTTATATCAAATGCTGATAACTATTAAAAAAGATCAAAACTTTACCATGCTTCTGTAAATCTTTGTTCTTCTTAAAAGACTATTTTTCTGTCTTTAAGATCCAAATTACTTATTATGGCTAAAACACATATTACCAAACCAACTTTTTAAATGGGGAAGTTCCAATTTGCTGGTAGAATAATTAAAATTTAAAATGCTAAGTGGGTAAAATAGTTTTCTTTTTTCTTTTTTTCTCTTTTTTTTTTTTTTCTCTCCTCAGGTGGGACTAGCAGCATGTCAGATTGCCAGAGCTTGTGGTTTGAAGGTTTTGGGTACAGCAGGAACTGAGGAGGGCATGAATGTGATCCTGAGAAACGGCGCTCACCAAGCCTTTAATCACAGAAACCCTAATTACATTGAGAGAATTAAGGTAGGCATGATGTCAAGGCTAGAGGATGCAAGTACTAACAAACAAGCAGTTGTTTGCTGAAGTTTTTAAAGGCAATTTATGTAGGAGCAATAGTGTACTGCCTTTTTAATTTCTACACAAGATAAAACTTACTCAGGCTGGAAAAGCAGAACTTTTCTCACAGGCAGAGAGAACTAACATTCAGCAAATTCCAGTGTGGGAGCACACCATAAGTCAGCACAGCAAAATGTGCTACAATTCAGCTCATTAGCTGTCAGCTATAGTACAGAGGCTGTATTGAAAATTTAAACAATAGCCTGTAAAATGGATGTTTCCTGTAGTGTATGAAATAAACAGTGGTACCTGAGCACTAAAATAACATCCTGTGTCTTGTACAGGAGTGCACAGGGCCGGGGGGAGTGGATATCATCATAGAAATGCTCTCCAATGTCAACCTGGATGCTGACTTGCAGCTGCTGGCCCATGCAGGGAGGGTGATGGTGAGTGTGTCCCTGCCCAGAGGATGATGGTGAGTGTTTGTGTCCCTGAGCAGGGAGGTGATGGTGGGTGTTGGAGTCACTGCCTCAGTCTGTGCATTCTGCATCACAATTGTGCAGCTCTCATTTTGGACTTGCTTGAGCAGGTTGTGGGCTGCAGAGGACGCATTGAGATAAACCCAAGAGACACTATGAGCAAGGAGTCAAGCATAATTGGAGTGAGTCTGTTTCTTGCAACTGAGGTGAGAAACATCTCTGTTTTAAAGTATGCTTTGTTGACTTGTTCCAGCACTCCTCTATTTCAAGTTAAAATCCTTTGTAGGGATGAAAGCATAATTTCACTTTAACAAACTTGTTTGTTCATTTCTTTATGTTTTGATTCAATCTCAGAACATAGTAAAATATTTTTGGGTTGTGGAATTTGGTTTAACACTTGAATAAATTGTCAATGCAATTCTAAAATGCAAAGACCTTGTTGTAAATGCTGTGTTTGTTACATGCAGGAGGAGAGGCATGAATGTGCCACGGCACTCCTTGATGGCATAGAAGCTGGCTGGCTGAAACCCATTGTGGGCTCGGAATATCCCCTGGAGAAAGTAGCCAAGGCTCATGAAGACATTATTTGTAGCAGTGGTGCCCGAGGGAAGATGGTGCTCCTTCTATAAAGGAGAACCTTTTTCCATTTATTTTGTAGCTGCTTTAACTGTACCTTTGGTTACATGGTTCACTGAATGTATGTTATAAGCATACTTTTGATCAGGGTTGACAGTAGAAAATGCTCACTTACATGAATTAATTAACAAGCTGCTTCTTTTTGTAATGTGCAGAGTTTCATTTACTGTAAAGTAATTTTGGTAGCTTTTTTGACTGATGTGTAAATAATAAATTTTCCCTGCTGGTGTGGCATGGTGCTGCAAGGGAAGGCAGAGTTTGGTATCATGTTCTGTGTGAAAGCAGAGTTAGGCCACTCTAGGCAGTGCAGAATGAAGCTGCTTTTTACAGATACACAAAACTAAATAACTTGCTGTGTGTGTTAATTAGAACTGTAAATTCTTTTAGCCACAAAATCAGTCTTAAATTTTGTCACACAATTTACTTGAAATAAAGGCTTTTACTGACAAAATAGTTCATTTTCCAGCTCAAAAGATGGGTAGAATCTCTCAATCATGAACTGTTTGGAGCAGAGGTACTTTCACTTGGCTGTGCCTGCCTCAGGGTCTGAGGTGACAGTGTCCTGGCTCATCCACAGGGACTGTCACTCTGGAGATCCATCTTGGTATTCCTCTCTGGAACTGATGATAGTTATTCCTGGATGGTAAATGGCTGGTCGTGAGGATTTCAGTTCTTGCTGTGACCTTTATTAATATCTTCTGGGTCCCTGGCTGCATGGAGAGCAGGGCTGCATGGCTCTTGTGGCATGGAGACTTCCTGTGAAATTCCTGAGCCCCATTCTCTGGAGTGGGCAGACTGTGCAGTTACACTGAGTCATTTCATTGTCTCTTGTTCTTACAAACCTTAAATCCATTGCCTGGGTGCAGTAGGATCCTTCCTCCCTCCAGGCTGCCCCAGGGGAACAGAGTTAGTTTCCTTGTTTGTTGCACTTCCCCACAGGAGTAGGGAGCTGCTTTGTGAAGGTTTAAGAGTGATTCACCTGGTGTAAGTGATGTGAGTAGGTAGTTTCTCAGCTGCTTATCCAGGTGAAAGGTGCTGACTGTTCCTGTCCCTGTTCACTGGGGCAGAATGCAGCCTGAGCAGTGATGGTGTGTTGGGATCCTGCTTGATAATGTTGTTAGAGAAAGTAAAACATCTTTTAATATCGAAGTACTAAATAGAGGTTAAAAATAATGGTTAATAATTGATCATGGAGATGATGTGCATGTAAAAGTATACATTTTCCTTATACTCTGTATGTGTTTGTTTAAATATTATTTTTGATTCAGCTTTTTAATTTAGTCAGGGGGTATTACATGAATGGGAGGTGATGGTTTGCAGTGTCTCCTTTCTTGCTTAGTGCTGCTTCTGTGGCTGATGTTTAGAAGTGAAATTCAGAACAGTTCTCGGGTCTGTCCTCATTGCTGCTGTCTCCAAGGGCTGTTTGTCACAGGGTTTGTCACCAGAAGGTGTCAGAGCAGTTCTGTGTTATCACATTGCAGCTGTTCTTTGCCAGGTGATCTGGCAGAATGGCACAGCTGGACTGAGACTGACTTGTGGATGAATGTCATGTAACATTTATTCTTCTGTCCATTTGTGATGTATTGTACCAATAGAAGGGGTTGTTTTAATTTTGGGAAAAGTAGTGTGAACAGAACTAATGATGTAGGACTGAGGTGTGTGATCTGTGCAAGCCACCCATCTAGAGAATGTCAGCCTGGAGAGTGCTTGGTTTGGCTCTCTTTTTGGGACATGCTGCCCCTTGGCAATGCAGAAAAGGATGGAGGAAGAGGATGGGGATCTCAGACAATTGAATTGGGCAGAATAATTCGGTCAGGTTGTTGGGTAGCTTCTCCTATTTGATTGGATGGATTTTGGAGGCAGTGGTTCCCAGTGGCAGGCTGCTTGGTGCTGCTGTTGGTGGTTGGAAAGGTTGTACAGACTCTTGTGTTTGTGCTGGCCTTGGCATCTGTAGGAGAGGTTTGGGGTTCAAAGCAAGGAGTTGCGTACGATGCCAGAGTCTGGAAGCTGCTGTTCTACGTGTTTCTGGAACAGAAAAGAGTGGAATTGTTCTGAAAAGCAGCTGCTCTTGGTTAATCTCAATGTGCCCAAAATAAATGCTGCCTACACTTTCTAGTCATTAAAAATGCCATCCCCTCTCCCTTGTAATTTTCCCTTGTATCTGTTCCTGACTTCTTCCTGTGCTGCAGGATGATACAATAAATTAATGAGACTTCAATTACAGGGCTGGAAAGATAAAATATGAAGAGAATATTGATGTTCTTAATAGTTGCTCCCTTTACAGAAGGCAGATCAATATTGAGTGTGGGTGGATCATGCCACAGAAAGCCTGAGGGCAGTGAAGTCCTTTAACATTTTGGAGCAGGTGCATCATAGGGGAAGGTTGTCCCTGCTCTTCCTCATCACGGGGATCTCCACTCAGATCAGTTGCTCTGTGGCCCCTGGAAACATCACCTGTGAGTTTGTGCTTCAGCTGGGACTCAGCCCCCTTGCCAGCCTGGGTCCAGGGCTGTGAGTCTGTGTCAGAGCCTGTCCCCAGTGGTGTCCTGTGTCCCCGAGGCAGTGACAGAGTGGCACATCGGCCACATCTGGAGTGCTGTGTCCAGCTCTGGGCTCCTCAGGACAAGAAAGATGACAGTTATTGGAGAGGGTCCAGTGGAGGCCACAAAGATGATGAGGGGTCTGGAGCATCTCTGATGAGGAGAGACTGCTGGAGCTGGGCCTGGGAAGGCTGAGAAGGGATTTCATCAGTCCCTACGAATACATCCAAGGTGGGTGTGAAGAGGAGGTGCCAGACTCTTTTCAGCAACAGGATGTGGAGGAGCAATGGCCATAAACCAAAACACAAGAAGTTCCACCTCAACATGAGGAAAAACTTCTTTCCATGGAGGTGGCAGAGCCTCGAACAGCTGCTCAGGGTGGGTGTGGAGTCTCCCTCTCTAGAGACATTCCAAACACCCCTGGACATGTTCCTGTGTTACCTGCTCCAGGTGACCCTTCCTGGGTAGGGGGGTTAAACTGGGTGATCTCCAGAGGTCCCTTCCACGCCCAACTATTCTGTGATTCTGTGACGCCAAGGGGCAGCGGGGGTGGCGGGCGGAGCGCCGGCTCCCTTCTTCCGTCCCTCCTTCTCCTGTCTCCCTCCCGCCCTGCCTCCCGCCGTCTCCTGGCAACGCCCGGGACGCGGCGGCAGCGCCGGTCCGCCCGCCATGAGCGCCCCGCAGCCCCGGTGAGTGGGGCGGGGGCGCGGGGGGCTCCGGGGGTCCGTGCGGTCCCGGCGCCCGGGCAGCTCTGGGCGCGCCCGCAGTCGCTCTCGGCCTGTCAGCTCTGCGGGGATAGTGACAGGGCCGGGGCCACCAGCGGCGCCTCCCTGCAGCCCGCGCCGGCCGTGAGCTGGGGGTAAGGGGGTGTGGATGCCCCGACCTGCCCCACACACCCCGGGGTTCCGGAGCGAGCGCCCGGGCCCCTGATTCTGCCGTCCAGGTAACGCCTCCCCCAGCGCAGGGGTGATGGAGCCGCGGGGAGCCGCGCCGGGGGCTGCAGGTCATTCCCTAGTTGGCCGGCTCCAGACCTGCAGGTCGTGAGTTCAGAGAATCCAGGCTTGCCCGAGCTGTTATCAAGGACAAATAGTGAGAAATGGAGAATCTCTGCAGGTCTCCATGACAAAATTTGGCACATCCTGGTGTAGTGGGCGATGCTCTGAGTAAAGAAGCAATGATAGAAGTTGCTCATGTCCATACAAGAAATCAGAAGCAGAACAGGTGTCCTTTTGCTCTGAGTTCCATGTCTGGTTCTGTGGCTGGGCTTCCTTAGGGAGGGAATGGCAGGCAGGTGCCAGGTAGAGAGCACAGGGGCCACGATCCCCTGTGACTCTGCCAATCAATAACTGATGCCTCGGTCCTCTCTCAGATCATTTATTTGGTGATTTAATCGCACTGTGAAATATTAACTGTGAAGATTTGCTTTGCAAAACATCTAGGATGCCTGCTGTGGCTTTGTCTTGTTGTCCTTCCAACCAAGGAATAGTGGTCTTAAAAATTGTGATACGCAGTGCTTTGGGTAAGATGCCAGCTGAGAACAAAGATACTGTTAATAATAATAATGGCAATGATCATAGCATCATAGAATTCTAAATAACTGTAAATATAAAATTACTGACTTGACAGTGACATGTTGTCACTGGTTGTGATGCCAGACAAACAAACGTGACATTCATCTTGAGAAAAGCTTCAGACCTACTCATGGAAACTACAGATCAGTCAGTCTAGGTTCTGTGCCAGGAAAATTGCCTGTAATTCTAATAAAAACCCAGCATTTTGGAGAGAAGAATGAACTGGATAAATGGGCAGAGAAAAAGGAGTCTCAGGAGTACCCAGGAAAGGGATGTAATGGCTGTGACACACAGGCTGTATAGAGCTGGCTAAGGCTGGTGCTTTCCCTTTACTGTTTTCTTAAAATGGATTTTGTCAGTTCTGCACTTCTGCCTGCTGGAGAAGTTTTAGAGGTGACGTTTTTGTGTGATTCTTAAACATTGGAGTCTGGGAGAAAACTGCTCAGACAAGAACTTTTGTTCCCCTTTTGTTGATACCACATGCAGGAGCAGAGACCAAATGGGACAAGTGTTTGCTTTGCTGGAGTGTCTCTACCTGTTCCCGAGGCACTGTCTTTGATGGTGTTTGTGGCCACAGAGGGTTCTGGGGCTGGTGTGAGGGTTCCTCCAGGCAGCATGGCATGGCCAAACTCTAGTGGATCCACTTGCGTTCTTTCCAGTGCTTTAATTGGCTTTGGTTCAGGCCCAACATATTTCCTTTTGAACTTTGAATTTAATTCAGCATTTTCGAGGACCGGCCTGTTTATAATTCAAATGAGAAAATATCTGTACCGAGACATCTGTGCAACAGAAGCTGCAGCATCACTGTGCTCAGGTGGGAGCTGCATTTTAACTTAGTTATATGGTCCAGGAAATCTTAGGTGCAAGGCAGTGAATGCAAAGGAGTTGGACTGAGTTTCTCTTCTGCCTCGACATGCAGTTGCTGTGTGATACCACAAATCGGTACTTATCACAACTGGTGGAATCTGGTGGTTTCAAATGCAAACTCTGGATTGAAAAAATGACATAGAACAGTTGCTATAGTACCAGTGCTTAATCAACAGGCATAACAGGATAAGCTACATTGCTTGTTTGTTTAAAGTTTAATTTATTGTTGGCAGCTACCTGTGAGGTTATTGTGAAACCCCACATAAAGTTCCTATAAATGCATGATCTCTTTAAAAAAAAAAAATTGTTCTTTCTTTCCTTGAGTATGTTTTTGTGTGTGGCAGCTCAGCCTGGCAATAGACATTTGACTGAATTATCCAACTGAAAGGAATATAATAGAGGTACAGTGGCATTTAAATCTACAGCCAAAGAAAACAAAAGATGTCAGTCTCTTGTTGTGTAACTAAAGCACAACGTGCCCAGAGAGCCCAAAGGTCAGGCTGAATGTATTATGCAAGATGCACCCGAGTGTGTAAATTGTACAAATGTAAATGGATTTAGAGTATTACGAACTGCAGCCTACTGTCACTGACTTCATTATTTGTCCTGTTTTACAGAGGGGAAAGTAAGATACAGTTGTGCTAAGAACTGTTTAAAAATGTATCTGTTAATTATGGATGCTTCAGTTTCTGTGTTCAGCTCTCACATCTGAGGTTCAGTTTTTGGAAGGTTTGATCTTTGGTAGCTGTGATGATTGTGGTGAGGCCCTGGCACAGGCTGCCCAGAGAAGCTGTGGCTGCTCCATCCCTGGAAGTGTCCAAGGCCGGGTTGGAAGGAGCTTGGAGCAACCTGGTCTATGGAAAGTGTCCCTGCCACCAACGGGGCATCAGGCACAGTGGCTGGGGAGCTGGGTCTGTGCAGCTGGAATCCAGCTCCAGGTACTATGTGGAACTGCCATGCCCAAGGTCAGGGTGTATCATCCCAGGGGGCTGCTGTGGGAGCTGGGGGTGGTGGAGGCTCTCCTGTCAGCCTGTCAGCCTGTCAGTGGTTCCACACTGAGCTTCTTGGCCTTACATACAACTCACTTGTTTCTGATACGAATTTTCTGGATGTTGCTTCCACATAATCTAATGGACATTTATCTTACCAAATAGGGCGTAATTCACCAAGGCAGGATTTTGTGCAGCAAATTATTGACTAGTTCTGTTTAACTTAAACTGTAATAATTTGTCAGTCAAGGGGATTATAAATATCTGTATTGATTTTATTGCAGATTTCTTGCAACCTACAACAGCCTTACAGACAAACACCTGGCTGGATATTTCAGCAATGCCAGGATAAGACAACACCTTCAGAGATCAGGACTGGTGAGACTGAAAATTTTCCCTGAATTCAACATTTAATTCAGAATGTTTTAATCCTTTTGTTCCGTATTTATTTTTGCTCATTGGAGTTTCCCTCTGCAAAGTCTTTCAGTTTGCAAAAATACAGCATCGTGTTGATTCACTCAGGGTTTTCACACTGAAATATCTTTGACTTGACTGGTTGTTTAAATAGCTTCAGTGTTATTTTTCGAAAGTGTTTAATGGAAAACTGAAGGATTTGCTAAAGATGAATGTGCTGAACATTTTAAAAAACACCAATGCACTCCTAGGTGAGACTGTTTCACGCAGAAAGGCAGGTGCAGCCCTTGGCAGTAGGAAGGCAGATGTTTAACTCCCTGTACCCCCTTGGGCAGTGGCCTGTGAGGAGTAAGGCTGAGCCCTTGACTGTTAGAAATGTGGCTGCTGCTCCCTCTGTTTGGCTGCTGGGGCCCATGGGGTCAAAGTCCTGTGACCACGCCAGGGGCGGAGGTGGTAGCTAAGCAGGAGGAGAAAGAGGTCTTCCTGGGAAATTGCACTGTTTCAAAACATACTTTATTCCATCTTCTCCTTTTCAGTAACATTATATTTGTGTATGGCAGATCTCAAGAAGTGGAAGAATAATACCTGAGAAAGAATACCGGCTCAATGCCATGAGGAGGGACCACCAGAGACACGTCCAGGAGTGCCTGGCTCGTGCTATATTTCATAAGGTCCTTGACATGGAGGTATGCCCTTACTGGGGGTGTGTGAGCCTTCTCAGGTGCTTCCCTGCTGACAGCCAGGGTCTGTTAACTTGTACTGAACTGTTTTCCATATGTGCCCTCATGCTCCCCTGGAAGGGTCTCTTCTGCTGGGAAAAAGGACAGTCTCTGCTTGACATTCTCTACAGAATTACCTACATAGCCTCTTGTTGTCAAACCCTGCTGCCACGAGAGCAGGCACTGTCTTGGCTCCCTCACTGCTCTTTGGCAGCCCTCAGATTATGGGATGATATTCACAGGACTAGTTTACTTAAAAAAATCCTAATAAAACCAAAGCTGTTTGAATACATTTATATTTATCATCTGAGTACAAAATTTGGGCACATTTCTGTGGCATATCAAGAGTGGAGTTGGTCCCTACAACTTTACCAACTTTACCAGTGCTCAGTTGTTCCCTTGGCTGTGTGTATGTACACAGGTGAAATGCAAATGGATTCAATCCATAGTAGTTTTATTACTGGGCTCAATGAGGGTAACAGCCGGGGAGAAGGCGCAGGACAAGCAGGACAGAACCAAGTGTTGTTGCATTCACTGACATCTCATAATGCCCATTAATGGGATTTCTCTTCCTCTTACATTGGTAGCGTCATCATCAGCTGGAAATAAAACGGAAACTTGAATATTCTGCAAAGAAGGAGAGGGTGAAGAAAATCAAGGTAAGGCTTGAGTGCTGCTGGGTGCTGCTGGCTCCTGGCAGCTTTGCCTGGGGAGTAACAGCCACAAGCCTCGCCAGAGATTCATTGAGCCAAGTGCTCTTTCTCTGATATTTATGGAAAAGATAAGAAACAGGCAAGTAGAGGATGATCCTGCCCCAGGTTACATCTCCTTCTTCCTCTGTCTAGAAGTTCAGGAACTTCCATTCATGCATCTAATTCCTTCTGAATCTAGTTATTCTTCTGGTTCTACAGTGTTCTTCATGGGGGGATTTAATAATGAGTTGTGTGATATGGTACCTCCTTGCATTTCTGCACATTAATTAATGCTGTCTGATATCTCAGTTTGACGCTCCATTGCTCTCGGTATGAAAAAGTTAATAACTGTTCTCTTTTTCCAAAGCATCTGTAGTTTTACACACCTTCTTCATATTCCTTCTCAGTTTTCCAAGCTGAAGACCCTCAGTCTGAATCTTTCTTAGCTGAGCCATTCCAGGCTTCTCACTACCGTTGCTATTGTTTTACCTTTTCTAGTTCTACTATTTCTGCTTTGAAATAGGGAACCAGAACAGGATGAATAATTCAAGACCTGTTCTCCTCACAGTAATTCTAGACCCTCTGTGCTTTTGACTGCTGCTGAGCACTGAGCTCATGCGTTCAGTCGTTTGCCTCTCCACAGGATTTGGGCAGAACTGGCATGTGAGTAAGGAAAAGAGGTTTCAGGAGCCCTCGCTTTGCTGTCATGTAGGTCAAGCTTGATTTTGTAGTTAGAGTCATGGAAATCCCACAGAAGTCAATGGTTCTCCCCATGAAGTCACTTGGATTCATATGGGAAAAGTTGTTTGGCAGAAACTTGCTCTGCCCTTTTTTTTCTGTATTAGGAGCCAGAATGCTTTGAGGAGAGTGCCTTGAGAAGCTGGCTGCTGCTTTGAGCAGCTGGGGAACATTGTCAGATCTGTTAAATTGTAAATAATACATCTATAGGCAGCTCTTCAGGTAAAGCAAGGAGATGATTTTCCTAAAAGATACTGGTCACTATAGGAATTGGTGTTGTTTGCTGACGAAACTCCTGCGGTAGGAAGTCACTCTGTGAAAGCAGCAACTCCAGCACCCTAGGAGGGATCCTGGGCTTGGGTAATTTTGGAACATATACCAGAACTGCTTCCTTCAGTGAGACGCCTGCAGATACCTGATCTATATGTGCTGTGCTGGGCTGCAGGAGCCTGGCTGGAGCCAGTGGTGTAACTTAATTCTCACCTCATATGTTCGGTGAATTCGACCAAGTTGCTTATCTGAAAGGAAAGGAGGAAGGCAGATCCCTGAGCGAGGGAGGCTGAGATACAGAGCTGTCTGTTTCCAGTGGGACTGTTATCCCCAGTGGAGGGTTGGTGAGGAGAGAAAGGGGACATGGGCCGCAGTCAGAGCAGGGAAGAGGCAGGTGCACTCAAATTTAAAGAGACCTTCAAAAAACCAAGAACTGGGAGATACACAGAAATAGGCAGATAAATTTAATCTGAGGGGGTCAGCAGCTGGAGACAGCTGCAGGAAAATGGATCAGAGCGAGGGACAAGTCTTTTCACTTTTCGCATTCTCCCATGATTTCCTTTCCTTCCTTAACTAGATGTTCCATCAAGTCCAGGTGAGCTGATCATCACAGCTGTCCAGTGAAAGAGATGAGGTTCAGACATCACCATTAGAGTATTTAGTGCCTCAGAGACATATATTTCTGTTCTTGTAGGAGGAACAATTCAGAAGATCAGTGGAAGATGCGATCCCCATGCATTCTCCACATCCACCACTTGGTCCAAGGAACCATGATGGGTTTCATCCTTTAGTGACTGGAGATCGAGCTGGTCGCTCACAATGGGTGAGTTTCAACAACTTCCCCATTGCCTATCATGGAAGCATGGATACCTGGAAGTGTGCACGTGGACCTGTGACATCTGTACTTAGGACAGAGCATTGACTGCCTGGATCATTCTGGATTAGGGCCTCATCCCGTTTGCAGAGTTCTATCATTAAAGAGGAATCTTCAGAAGACAGTGTTGCAGCAATGGCACATCAGAACTTAGAAAAAAAACAAACAAAACCTTTGCTCTCTGATAAATCTGCTTCAATCTTTGCCTTTTAGCTGCCTCATGAGATGAGTCGGTATCAGTGCGTTGAGCATTGTCAGTGAATGCCAGAGCTGTAGAAGGGGTTACACGTGTTGTGAAGTCCTGAAAGCAGTGGAGGTCTTTTAGAAAACAGAGTTGGAAGAGAACTCTGAAATGAGTTCTGGAGCTCTGGCTCTTACTCTCTGTTAACAGCAAAGAAACAATGTTAGTATACCCTGGAAATATAATAATAGTAAAGCCTAAGGTCAAAGGCCAAATATATAGTTCAGTTTTAACTAGTTCTCCACATCAATAATGATAATTGGTGCAGATTGAAGAGAGGCTTTCAAGTCCTGAATGACCTTCTCTCCATACAGAGGGCACCTGGACTTGTAGTTGATTATGGTGGTGGACATTCTTCTCATCAGCGCCGACCCAAGGAGCCTACACACTCTGAGGTGGTGAGTTACCTCAGTTAAACAGTGCTGTTAGGCTGTAACTTTTTAACTTGGTGTTAAAAGGGTGTGCAAGGACAAGATGAAATAAAAAAGTCAGAAAAAAGCTGAGTACTGAAGAAAAATAGGCATGTTTTTGTTGTGCATTCTCTTAGTGTCCGTGTGCTGAAGTCCATAGTGCACTGCTACAGTTCCTGTGAGTTCATCATGTTTGCTTCAAGGCTGCACGGTGAAGAGACAGTAGCAAAACCTGTATTTATGGCCAAGAGTTGTCTTGGATGATGAAGTTTTGCATGGTCAATTAGAGGTGCCTAAAGGGGTCTGACTCTTTGGAGAACTAGAAAATGTCCTGTCCTGGAGGTACCTGAAATCACTCACTGCTTCCAGATGTCTTCATCAGTGCTATTTTTTTCCTTTATGGTACTGCTCTGCACTGGAAGTTACGCACTGAGATTTTGTTGCTGTTTTCTTTTTCCTTTTGTAGAGTTCCTGTCGACCAAATACAGCTCCAGGAAATGTGCAGCAGCCGTTTCGCCTCCAGCCTCTTTGCAGCCGGGCTGCAAAAGGGTCGCTACCAAAGGCTTCCCAACAGATGTGCCATGTACTGGAATGGAATCAGCAGTTTGCCCGTGGGGTGAGGCTGTATTTCATTCTGAAAATAATAGCATTTTAGGGACAGTTTTATAATACTGCTTTAGTGCTGTAGTTCCCAGAACTGTGTAGTGCAGGGACAATGCCTTTCAAATGGCGTCAGCTTTTATTTGAACTCTCCTTTTTCACTTCCCCTTAATTTTCAAGGCATTGTCTTACTGGTCTAATGCCCAGTTCTTGATCACAGTGAGGAAAAATGTGGTGACTAGTCTTTTATAGTATAAAATCTCTCTGCATACAAAATTTCCTCCCTCTATGTAAATTTTCTGTTATGCAGAGAGGGAAGCAAACACCTGGTTAAGACCAGTGGAATATTTTCACTTACAAGTCTTACAAGTTTTCATCTTTATCTACAGCTACAAATTTCTTTAACCATTCCTCCTACTAAGTCACACTAGTGGGTTCAGAGAATGAGAGTCAAACATGATCTCGATATGTTCACCATCACTTTCAAGTGATATTTGGAGTTGTCTTCTGTTCTAGAAAAATATAATGTAATTGGCTTTGTGATATGAGTTCCATGGAAGATTTTGGAGTGGGACTGTGACCTGCTACCACTAGCTGACAGACACTGTATGAATAGCTCCCTTCTGCTCTGCATTTGCTCTGTGTTGGGATGATCACAATCCTTTGTCCAAGAATTTGCTGGTATTGTTTATGTATATTCAGATTATGGGTGATTTAATGGTTTCTTTAATGCTCTCAACTGACGAAACAGCTAAATCAGGTGTCAGTTATGAGAATGTGATGCAGAACTCAGAGCCAGAGCATGCAGCATTTACAGGACTTGTACTCTGGCCATGTCTTGCTCTTCAGGACCCTGGTCCTCTGTTTGCATTTCATTCTGAAAGAAGACTAAACCTCCACTCAGATGGGGAAGCAGCATTTTGAACCTCATTTTGTATAATAGATACCAAGTGATGTTCCTGTTGGACAACTCTGGCTGCTCTGGAATGTGTTTTCCAGCTGTGAGAGCAGCACTGCTGCAGGGCTTTGCAGCGTTCTGTCTGAGATCAGAGTTCTGCTGGGCTGCAGGCAGGGCTTGGTTTGCAGTGCTGTCTGTATCTCTGAGGGTGACATTTTCAAGCAATCCGCATGTTGTCTTGCTGATTAAAAGAAAGGGATTTAGCACAGAAATGTTTTAATGAACAAATTGCAGGCCCCATGTTAAGGAGCTGTTCCAGAAGGCTGTGTGCTGCTAAATGTACCAAGCAGTCAGACCATGGCCAGTTCCAGATGCTCAGGAACTGGTTCTGCAAAACCTATGTCACCTGGTTAAAATGTTTTTGCAGGGAGAGAGAAGTGAGTTAAGGCTTCTGAATTCAGTGGAGTACGTGACTGGTGTATCCCCATATCAGCTGCCTGTCATTAACCCTTGCGTGGTGCCAGTGCCACCGCCTCGCCGGCACAGAGGGGACAGGGGTGTCCCTGCAGGGAGAAGTGGGGTACCCACAGGGAGACGGTTTCGTCCCACCACTGCATCAAATGACACAAGGCAAATTTTAACAAAGGTAAGTTATCTCTGACTATGTACAGGTGTATTACCTTCCTCATTGGTCTGTTTGCCTAATGCTGAAAGGTGTGCATACCTAGTTTGCATAAAGAAAATGTATAACTATTAAAATATATAACTGCTGTACGTGCCTCTGTAAACTAAAGCATTTGGTGTTTTTCATCAGTTGGGGAGAAAAAAGGTGCTGAACAAAAACGCATAGGACCTTCCACTTCAGTTAATCTGATCCTGTCTTTGGCCATAGCTGGCACCAGAGCTCCAGGGATTTTTGAAATGCCTCAAGTGTATGAACACTGCATGGGTTATACTCTGTCTCCAGCCAGTTTTGACTCCTGTAAATAAAATTGTAGGAACCCAGGATTGGGAGGGACAATATGGGTCATGAAACATGGTCCCTGCAATTTGGTGCTATTCAATGAAATGGGTTTTCAGTTTGAAATATTTCCCTGCCCCCTGCATGTTACAGACGCTTTCCAATTTAATCAGCCCAGCACCTGTCATAAAAGCCTGGAAGCCTCAAGCGTGTGCTGCACAGCCGTGAGCTTTTTGTTCCCCTCCTGTTGGAGCTGGAAGCTGAAGGCATTTCTGTGTGTTTCCTGCTGCAGAATTCTGGAGGGTTCCCCAAATCCCCATTATGCACCAATGCCGTTGTCACCATGGCCTACCTAGGAAAGAGTTTGCCTTTGTCTCGTGATGCTTACAGGCATGAAATCAAAGTCTATCAGCAGCACTGTGGAGGAGAAAACCTTTGTGTCTACAGTGGCAAGCTGTTGGAAGGAGGTAAGGATAGAGTCAAAGAGCTCATATTGATTCTGGCAACATCTTTTTTGGTTAAAGCTTTGCTGTGACACCAAAATGATTTCAGCTGAAATCAGACAAGATACCTGCATCCAGGGATTTTTATACCATCTGCCTCCACACTAAATCTGGATCTACTGTTCCATGATTGAAAGTGAAGTTAGAATTACTTTTTCAAATTATGGTAGAAGGAATTTAGAGAGCTAATTTAACAAAGTACTGTAGCTTAGATTAATTTTCTATGGAGACGTATGGTTAATGGAGTGGTTGTAGCAGTAAGCTGGACTTAAATAGGATTTATCTGAGTAGCTAAAATACATCAGTGCATGTTGCATATTATTCTAGAATGAAAAGTACATAGTGGGAGCCCAGTTCTCATCTCTTTTATGTAAGTGCAATTCCATCACACCAGTAAAAGGTGAATTGCATTCTGAGAAGCTGGGCACATGAAATGGCTGGGAGGCTCTTGCCTCTCTTCTGCTGTAGCAGTGAGTGGCCAAACTGACAGTGTACTCACCTGTCCTAGCTGTGCCCACCTTGGGTCCTGGGGCTGGCGAGAACCAGGGCTGTGTGTGTGTAGGGGTAGAGTGTGACCAACTGATGAACAGAGCTGAGAACCCCAGTGGCTGGCACAGGGGGCTGGGTGCTGTGCTGATGCTGGTGAGATACAACAATTGCCCCAGGCTGACAGGGAAGTGTAATGTTTTTCTTTGAACTTTTTCTTTCTATGATTGCAGAGACCTTCCAGTTCATCTCCAAGAGGCACCATGGTTTCCCGTTCAGCCTCACCTTTTTTCTCAACGGGATGCAAGTCCACAGGCTGAGCTGTTGCTGTGAGTACAAACATCAGAGGCGTTCCCGGCTGCGAAGCGGAAACAGATACTTCAGGTTTCTTGATGTGGAGGGAGCATCTCCTTGCTACAGGTACAGAGATGAGTGCACTTTGCTCACAGGTACTTGGTTCTTAGAGAGTTTCTCACTTGTTCCTGTTTCATCTCTCTGGCTCCCCACAGCTCTGTAGAACCTGCTCTGTTTCTCAGTGACCCTTGGACTGCGGTTACCTGTCAGGGTCTCACCTCCAAGAGTGCCAGCACAGCCGTTTTCCTGTACCTGCTCAGTCCCCCTGTGTTGTGTGCATGGCATGGACAGTGTTGGTGCTGGCTCTGTCGGAGTGTTAGAGGTGGCTGAGCGTGGTGGCTGTGGGGTGTGGTTCATGTGCCACCTGTGTGTCTCTGGCCCAAGTGACAGTGAAACAAATATCAGGCTATGGTTTTCAGAGGCTTTTTTGTGAATAATTTATTTTTAAACAGCTCTGCCTCTGAGTGGGATTCTGCTGTGATATCCCCACCTGCAGAATAAGGCAGCACTGAATGCTGGCCATGGTTCAGAAAGTAAATCTGTGCAGAAGGGTCTTGGATTTGGGTAGAAGTCAGTGCTGTGACCAACAGCTGTGGCTCTACCAAGAAGCTTCAATTGTCATAAACCTTCCTTTTCTGTGATTGTTAATTCAGGCCAGACAAGTAAACTTCCAGACACGTGGATAATTTAAAAACTTTCATGTTCTTTTAAGAAATAATTTTTAAAAGAGCGGCAAGCAGCAGGAACAAGAGACTGTCCACAAAGCTGTACCCGGTTCCTTCAGATAAGGACTGAATTCTAAGAAATATTGTACCATATTTTTTTAATTCCAGTCTAACAATGAACATGATTTATGTAAATGTGTTATCTAGCATGTTCAAAGAAGTGAATAGCTTCTGAATTCAGAATGGATATATTTGCTATAGAATTTAGGAAGTGTTCAAATCTCAGCTTCATATGATTTCTAGAAAGATTTGAAGTGAATTTTCTGAATTTAATATAGTATTCAAAAATTGGTTAATTCCTTCCTGAATCAGCCCCCCTTTCTGTCCCCCTTCCTCTCTTATTCATAGTGATTTCTCTTTTTCTGCCTCTTGTCAGTCCAGTTGACCTTATCTGGTGACTTAAAACCCATCTCTATTGACCTAATTTTCCCCATAAATGACAATTAGTTTCACATCCCTTCAAGTCAGGTGCAATTGTGTTTGTTTCCTGCTCTGTGACACACATTGAATACCTACTCTGGTTCCCAACGTAGTAGGTCAGGGCTTTGGCTCACGATGAGGTGATGCAGTGATTTCTGTACCATGTCTGAGCCTTGCTCTGAGAGTTTTCTACTGTCTGAGATTCAGCATTTCTGTACAGCAGAAGCGCTTCAATATCCCAAAGGTCCCTGAAGAAAACACAAAGAACAAAGCATTAAGGGATAGGACTCTTCAGAAATGGTCATGTTTATTTTTTTTGCCCACAAAATGAAAAAAATTCTGGCCTGAACGACTGTGGGATGTTTCACAGTAGTTTGGAGAGAGTTGAAATGTGAGGGGAATTGCAATCAAGCCTTACATTAAAAAGCAGTTTGGGGGGAAGAAGAGATTTTAAGACATAGTTGTCCTTGAAGCAAAAATGTTTTTCCAGAGGGATTTGGGAGTAGCTAAAGTGAAAGTTCCGGTTTCAGTTTCACCCTCTGCTTGCAGATTTGACCCCACGTACTATCCACAGCATGGTGTCCTGGCCCTTGTGGTGGGTGCAGGGTGGTGTAGGGTGGCTCTTGGTGTCAGTTAACGTTCCATCAGAAACAGGAACTCTGGTCTCTTGTCTGGGCCTCCTGACCACATGTCACTCCATTTTATACAAGAGGAGCCATCTCAACAACTCTTTCAAAATACTTTGTTTTCCAGCTACTTGTGTTTCTTTTAGATAGGAAAACAGAACAGAAGCTGAAAATGATTCACTTTCAATCTCCTTTGTCCTCCACAGTTATGAGACCCAGCAGATAAATTCAGAAACCCCCAGTCTTATGCACAAACCCTGAGTTACTACTTTACTGGGTTTTACAGCAGGATCTGGATCCAGCCCACATGTGACTTGGAGCTTATCTGCCTTTCTCAGAGGTTCTGTCTTCACAGCCAATGCAGGCCATGCAGGTTCTAATGAAGTGTCACTTGTAATAATTTTGGTTTTAATTTGTTTATATGTCAATTGTCACCTGTAAGTGCAGACAGCGTTACTCTCCTTCAAGGAAGAACTTCATCTGTGTTAGAGGAGCTCTCTGGGATCTTGGGGTGCTTCTCAGTGTGAGTCACTGTGACAGTGCAGAGGCAGATGGGTACCTGGTTTCACTGCTGATAATGAGCTGAACTCACTGTCTGCTGCCTTCCATTGTTCACAGGAAGAAAAATGTGATATTTCTAATCTGTGTTATTTTATAGGTGCATTATTGAGATGGGCCTGGACAAAAAGCTATCCCCTCCCAAGAGGAAGAGGGAGTACCGTGTGGAGAAGCATGTGGGTTCCTGGGAATATGCTCTGCACAGTGAGCCAAGTAACAGCAGTGTTGAGCAGAAATCAGTGAAGAATTCAATGTTAGTCATCTTACCGTCTCATGAAGCAAGTGTGGAAACTGTTGAGGAAAAAATGGAGACTGGAGAGGAGTATGGAGAAGAAGAAATGACGAACCAATCTGGTCATGAGAGTGAAGATAGTCAGGAAGACATCAGTAAAAATGGTACAGTATTCCCAAACATGAGTGGGGGATGAGAAATAGGAGAGGATGACTCTGGAGAAGGTATGGGATTATGGGCCTCTCACTTTGCCTGGGGCTTGAGAAATATAGTGATGCCTGTGGCTGGGCAATAGAATTAGTGGGGCTCCTTTCAGCCATCCAACAGGATTGAGATGGTTTCAAGAGCCACGAAAGAGAGTAAGGAAGGGTGGTAAGGCTCTGGCACAGGTTGCCCAGAGAAACTGTGGCTGCCCCATCCCTGGCAGTGTCCAAGGCCAAGTTGGAGGGGGCTTGGGGCAACCTGATCTTGTGAAAGATGTTCTCTTCCATGGAGGAGGCATTGAGCTCAGCCTCTCCCTTCACTTCCTTATCGTAGTCTTCTTCAGAGGCAGTCACATTTAGAGAGAGATTTTAACTCCTACTTATTCCTATTTTTGCTTTCACAGTTCTGCCGTGTGACTGCTCAGCTGCCTTGTTAGTCCCTCCAGATGTGTGTTTGGGATTAATCAGGCCTTTTTCCTTCAGGAGGAGATGCCCTTCTGAGAGTTACCTAAGGAATCCTCACTGCCAACACTGCAATTGGAATCTCAATTGATTTTTAATACAGAAAATAAATCTCCTTATTCCCTTAGTTGTCATTGTCTGGGTAATTGTTTATTTGCCTAATTGGTTCTGCATCAGGAACTCTTCATTTCTGCCCTTGGCATTCTGTCCCTTCAGTATATTAAAAGCCCTGATGGAAAGAAAGGAGGTTGAGGAATGATGATCACGAGGGACAGCAGTGACAGTCACCTGCACAGGGCAGGTGTCTGCCCTTGCTGCTGCGGGCACAGGGAGCCTCTGATAGCAGCGGAATGACTGGATTTTAGGTGGGAATCACCAACATCTCTTGTACTGGTGCCTGGGATGTGCGCAGTGCAGCTTTGGCGTGGAAGGGGATTGTTCTTTAATGCATCTTTACGTACAGATCTGAGCAAAGTTATCTGTCAAATGTCACAGCTTGTCAGGCGAATGCCTGGCCGAAATTCAGACATGTGGATGTAAGAGTGGTAATTCTGTGCAATCTTCATTTGTACTGGGATTTCCCCTGGGCTTGAAGGAGCATTTCAGAGCAGTGTTATAAAAGCGTGCCTCTGCAGTGCCCTTTGGCTGGGTTTAATTAGATTCATTGAGTTTGTAAGACACTTCTTAGCTATTTATCATACTTTGCACTACAATATATTACCTTTCTCCAGCTTTCTTGATCACTTGTAGTTTTTTTCGTCACAACCAGTTTTTCTTCTGTAATAAGAGACTCTTGCATTTAATTTCTGAGTTTGCCCAGCTTTTAATTTTTCTAGTCCTTTCCATGGCTAATGATTTTGTTTGGTTTTGTTTTATTGCATTAATCATACTCGGTGCATCAATCAGTAGTTTTGCTGCATTTTTGCAACTCTATGAGGAACATGATGCTTTTTTATGATAATGTGCTCTTACAATTCCTATCTGTGGTCTTAGATTCTCTCATGGCTTTAAAAAGACTGAGCAAATATAAGGGCAAAAGGAGATTAATGAAGTTAACCTCTGTCTGCTTAAAAATAATTAGTTGTGAATTCTGTTTCCAGTCTCACAATGCAATTCTTCTCTTTGAGGGTATGATGAAGATTTTGAAGCAGATGAAGAAGTTAATGAAGAGGGACAGACTGCTGATCAAACAAATGGAATGTCAGAGTCATCCTCAGATGATAAAAACCATAATTTAGACCATGGAAGGGAGAGTGGAACCTCATCGCAGAAGGCACTCCAGGCCTCTGACAGTGAGAAAGATGAAAGTGATGGATATTCTGACAGAGACTCTGAGAATAATCAACAAGGTTAGTTTTGTTTGTAATGAGGCTTAGAGAAGCTGACCTGATGCATGTTTTACAGTTTGTGTGTCCAGTATGTATGGTGAGTCTGCAGGGAGAAACCCATGCCATTCCTACTGACAAGGTAAAAGACAGCTGTTTTATTTGTTATTAATTTTACATCTGCCACTGAACCGCAGGCAGCCCCCTGGAAGTGGGAGCGTGGGCTTTTTGCTGAGCTGTTGAGGTGCTGAAATGGAGATGGAGGCAGGCAGCAGGTTCGCAGGGCAGCCCTCCATGTCAGTGGGACTCACACCTCGAGAAGCTGTGACCCCTTTCACCTTATGGAGGGTCCCAGGAAACCTGACAGACCACCCTGGGTTTTAAAAGTGCTGTCTTTAGTGGCCCTGAATGTGGCCCTAATGTATCTGTCTGTGCCAGAGACCCAGAAACCATTAGATTGTCTGAGGGGAAAGGTCTGGAGAGGAACTCCCTTGGATTTTCCCATGGTGGAGGAGTGGTACTCTGTGTGGGAGTCTTTAAACTGTGGCTGTAGGGTTTCTTGGTACAATATGTTTTTCTGAACATGCAGTTCTGCATGGATGACAGTTCTGGCACTTTTACTTATTCAGCCTGACTGGATTTTTCTGCCTTGAGTTTCACCAATCTCTTCTTTAACCTGTGTGGACTATGGGCAGCAGCAAAGCTGTGCAGCAGTCAGCTCTGCTGGTCAGCTCAGTGTTAGATGAAGGATTACTGCCTTTTTTCCCCTCAAACTTTCCATTTTTGAATTTAAATGATGATGTCTGTATGTTTTTCTAGAGAAGACAGTGAACTTCATCTCCAGTTCGACCTGAATGGTTTACACATGGTTTTGGAGATCTTTCTAATATTCAGTGAGTTAACAGGAGTGGACTGAAGGATTGTTGCTATGGTTGAAGTCTTTTATCAAACAGAGCTCAAGAATCTGTGCTAAGCCCTGTCTGAGTGACACTTAAAGGTGCTTTTGGAGGTGTATTTCTGTGTGATTGATAGAAGTCAATTTCTGTTATCAGAAGGTTATTTTGCATTAGGGGTTAATTTCCATTATCAGAAAAAAAACCCGAAAACATTAAATGGATTTAATCACTGATACAACTGGCCAACATTCTTCTATTTACACTTACTGGAATTTTGTCATGATATCTTCAGATGGTGTAATTCAGAGATTGCTATTGGTTGAAATTCTGTCTTTTGTGAGTGCCCAGTGAATGCAGATGCTTAGTGACAAATACTAAAACAAAGTGCTGTTTGCTGTTTCCAGAGAAGAGACCTGCAGACTCTCTCTCATCCATCAGTACTCAGTGCAGCATTGAGGGTGACTCTCATGCTGAAACAATGACAGATGATGGCAAAGAGGAGTGTGATATCAAAAGGGCATCTGATAGCACAGCACATGCACAGTATGGAAATGGGAATGGGGAGAATAAACTGCTCAGAAGGGAGGAGAATCAGGAGACTTCTGCACTGGAAAACAAAGGAATAAACGAAGCAGGAAAGGCAAAACCAGAAGATCTAGCAGCAAGGGAAGATACTGGAATTTTTCATGAAAATATAATGGCAATGCAGCATCAAAGTCCTGAAGTTAATGGGGAACTCAAACAGGCTGGGTCAGGAGAAAGTAGCATGAATGATGAGGACAAACGTCTTCCAGTGCCTTGGGAAACCAGGATGTTGAACGTGGAGGATGGCAACGAAGAGTCTCCTCAGAGAGAGGAAGGAGGGGGTGAGTACAGCCCCTCTGCATAGCTCTGTGACTGGTGCATGTCACCATGCTGTCAGTCATGGTGCAGCACAGGGAGTTGCTGGACTGTTTTCAGGCTACTGGAACACTCTGTGCTGCTGTGAGCCCAAAAACCACTCAGAACGTAACCTTGGCTTGGGGTTTCTCTGCTAGTGTTTCCAGTGTAAGACTCTGCCCGAAAATGAATTTTAAACCATTTTAAACCAAGCTGAGGTGGCTGGATGGCTTCTACTCCCCTTTTGCTCTTTAATGGTTTCTCTTTCTTACTTCCTGTTTTCTTTGTGATAGTTTTTGAAGATTGCAAATCAGATGAGGAGGAAATGGCAAAGGCAACTGGAAATGATCATCCTGTGAATTCTGACCCTGAACCTGGTGATTCCCATGCCGGTGAGGAAGCAGAGAATGCAGCAAGTACAGAGCGTGATGCTAGTGAAGGTGAGGTTGACTGTCAGTCAGGGAGAAGGATTAAATCTTATTAATCTGAAGTCTTTTTACAGAAGTGTCTGCCCTTTCCCTTTCCTTTGGCTATTAACTCTCCTTGTGCTTTTTTCTTTCCTAACTTGTATAGAACTGGGTGATGACTAGCTGGTTTCTGTAGTGATGTATAATTAATGCTTTTTTGGCATTTAAATGGTTCTAGGCAAAGGCCCCAGGCCATGATAAACTGGCTGTGAGTCAGGAAAGTAGCCACGGAAAGCAGAAACATAGTGAGGTTCCCTGTGCTTCCAGGTAGTGTGGGGCGTCCTCGGGAAACACTTTGGTTCCCAGGGGCAGGAATCAACCCTGTGTAATTCCCCAGTGTAATTAAAGAATCCACGGGAAGCAATTACCCATTTTATACAGCTGAGTGTTCTTCCTCCCGTGTGTGCGTATTTTACATGAGCAATTTGCCACCTATTTCTGACTTTCTGAGTGTCACTGTCAAGGTTACAGGTGTTTCACACGCACACCTGAGCTCCCTGCAGGCAGGGAGAGAGGCAGAGCAGGCAGGGCAGGCAAGATGGCAAAGATGAAATGGCCTTGCATCAACATTTTTTCTTAAATTCATTATGCCAGATGCCAGGACAGCAGCACTAGAGATGTAGTCAGAGCCCAGGGGTGTGATAAGAAGAAGCACAGCAAGTTTTCTTCTGGTTCCCATGCTGGTGTCCCTCATTGCTGGGCAGAGATGGTACCTTTAACACTAACCCTGTAAAACATGTAACATTGACACAGTGCTGAGTAAAACCAATGTTTTATTTTTCCCTAACAGCACCAGATGGAAGTTTCTCGGCAGAAGGGAGGAGAAGCCTTGATGTGCAGGAGGCAGCAGGACAAGAAGTACGAGAAGGGCATGTGGCAGGGCAGAGACAAGCCCTGGAGCAGGATGGTGCTGCCGTGGGAGGAGATATTGGCAGCAAAGAGGCCGGAGGAGAAAGGATACGGGAGAGGGATTTACTGCCCCAGGAAGAGACAGGGTCTGCGCTGGAGGAATCCACACCTGAGGAAGGCACCATGGCAGAGGAACATCCAAAAGGGAAGGGGACACAAGAGAGAGTGGAGTCGAGCACAGAGGTGTCACCTGGGGAGCAGGAGGTGCTGGTGGAGGGGACGGAGAGCAAGGCAGAACTAGGAGAGCTGGCACCTGGGGGAGAGGGGCCAGCTGGGGCACTGCTGGGCCGGGAGACAGACAGAGCCCTGTCTGAGGGGCAGGAGGGGGCTGGGGGGGTCACTGAGGGGGAGGCTGTGGAGAAAGGCCCCGAGGGAGTGGCAGGGCCGCTGGCAGAGGAGGAGGTAGGTGAGGCAGTGCCGGAGGCAGGGGAGTCCCTGCGGGAGGGAGGGTCCACAGGGAAGGGTGCTGTGGTGGGTGTTGTGGTGGATGGAGAGGAGGCTGTGGAGGATGCCAACCTGGCAGGAGAAGGTATTGCCAGGATTGTTGACCCTGAAGGAGAAGAGGCTGTTGAGGAAGGCAGTTCTGAAGGGCAGGAGGCAGTGGAGAAGCTTGGGGCTCTCCTGGAAGCATTAGGGGATATGGAAACAGGAGAAGCGATGCCTGGAGGGGAAGGGTTTGTAAAGCCAAATAACTTTTCCCAGCTAAAAGCATTAGGGGAAGAGCGGATGGAGATGGGGAAGGCTGCCACAGGAGCAGCAGCATCTGAACGTGGCCAGGTATGGAGGGTAGGAGGGAATGCTCTCCAGAGAGTGGAGGACATGATGGAGGTGCCAGTGGAGCCTGGCAAGGGTACCGTGCTGGAAGTGGCACCTGGGTTAGGGCCACTGGGGAGTGCTGGGGACGATCCCATCAGTGAAGGGTCGTCTCAGGTGGAGGAGACCCCGGCAGTGCAGGAGGAGGAGGGTGCAGTGGAAACACTTTGGAGTGGAAACCCATCTGTGGGCAGCAAAGCAGAGACAGAGAGAGCCATGGAAGGAAAACTCAATGGAGGGGTGGCAGGAGGGTCTGCCGAGGTGGCCACCCAGGGGTTGGGAGGTGGAGAGGAGGCCACAGGTGGAGCAGCAGGTCCAAGGGAGCTAGCAACTGGAATGGAGGGGTGGCTGAGGTATGGAAAAGAGAGAGGAAAGGGGACGCCTTCTGGGGAGGGAGTGGTGGGTGAGGCAGCAGTGCCAGCTCCGGGGTTAGACATGAGCCGGGCAGGGGAGCCCGGGCTGGTGGCCATCGCCGTGGTGGGTGGCCAGGCTGGGCAAGGGGCTCTGGCTGAGGAACTGGCCGGGGAGCCAGCGCTGGCCGAGGGGGCGGCAGTGGCTGGGGATGGCAGGGTGGGCAGAGGGACAGTGGCACAGGAGGGGGTGACAGGAGGAGTGCTGGGGGCACAGAGCGGGACAGGGGTGGCGGTTGCAGAGGGGATGTCAGCCAAGGGAAGGTGGGCAGCCAGGGAGTCTGGCAGGGACATGGTAGGGGTGGCTGATGGAGCTGTGGCCGGTGAGCAAGGGATGAACCAGGAGGCAGCACTGGGGTGCGAGGCAAGTGGGCCAGAGCTGGCGAGGGCCAAGGGCCAGGGTGAGGCAGAGTGGGAGTGGGTCTCAATGCGTATTGTGTCCCCAGGGCACGAAGAAGCCCATAGAGCAATGTCCCCTGGGGAACAGCTGACTGCAGAAACCTCCCCGAGCACCCCTGCCCATGGGGATGGGGGAATGGAGCTGATGGGAAGAGAGTCTGCAGGAGGCGAGGGGCTGTGCTTGGGCACCCAGCCACAGCTGGCAGCTCCTGGGACAGGGGCACTGGAGGGCAAGGATGGGCAGCAGGAGGAGATGGAGCAGGCGGGAGGGAAAACAGAGAGAGAACAGCAGGGCCCCCATGAAAACACGAGAGAGAATGAGGTAGTGGTTGTCTTGGCAAGTGCAGGGAGCTCTGCTGGGGCTGGGCAACAGAGGAAGGACAGTCCGGTCGGAGGGAGCCCAGGAGCCGCTGACGTGGGTGAGAGGAGCCACAAGCCCTATCAGGTGAGTCCTTCGTGGGTTGGTCACTGCCCCCAGGCTGATCCCTGTCAGAGGCAGAGGATGCACCATTCCTTATCCATTGCTTAATTGTCTGCTGCTGGTAGCTGGGACAAGGGATGAGAAATCCTTTCGGGTGGCGACTGCCTGCGTTCTTTCCTGTTCCCAAAATCCCGAGTAAATCCCTTTGCTGTGGCATTAATTCTTACAGCCCCTCCGCCCTCTCTCCCCTCTGGCCATGCAGAGCAGCTAACCCCACCCAGCTTGCCGCAGCTCTGGTGGCACTGGGTGAGCCCTGGCAGCACCTGTGAGCTCTGGAGCACCAGGTCAGCATCAGCACTTGGCTTTGCTGTTACTCTGGCCTCTGCTTGTAGGAGATGTCACAGCAATACCTCAATAGCTCCAAGTTCAGAACGTTTTCTGTAACATTTGCTTTTTGTTCCGTAGGACAGTGCAAACCCAGGCCCAGTCATCGTATCCACAGAACAGTCCCATGATGGGGAAGAAACTCTGCTCTGAGCTTTTTCAGCAGCTCCTCAATGCTGTGTCCTGCAACATTCACACAATTAGCTGTGGGTTTGTGCCAGCTGGGATGTCACTCCTGTGTTGACTCCGCGAGTACCACAACCACCTGTTACATTTCACCATAGCAGCTCCTCAGTGTGCAGCAGACAACTGAAACGAGCCTGTGTTTGCCAGCCCAGGAAACAGTGCTGCTTCAGAATTATGAAGACGGTAATCACCAGGATTGTTCCACAGCTGTCATGCTTGTTTTTCCCAAAAACCAGAGGAATACTGGACTGCCTGAACTTCCCTTCCTCCCCGATGCATCACTTGCTCCTCCAGGTGGGCAGGAGGATGAAGGCGGATGTACTGTGTGTGTTTGTCTGTACAGGGTGCCTATGTCTGAGTGTATCTGTCATTTTTTGGGATGTCTTTGCCTTTCTGAGCTGCAGCCTTCTGTCAGTCAGGCTGTGTCCTCACTGTTGTGCATGGGGCACTTGTGCATGCCATTGCTTGATTCTGGTAAGATCATCCAGGGACGTTCAGCAGAGATGCAATGTCAGGATCAGGGGTGAAGGAGGCCTCACACAAGGGTTTTAGCCTGGGGACTCCCCCACCCCAGGTTAGGGGAGGGTAGCTCTCCTGCATGCACAGTGCCCCCTGTGCTGGGGGGCATGGGGGGCTTCTGTCTCAGGGATCCACACTTGCTGTTGGCCACACTTCAGGGCATGCTTGGCACTTTGAAATGTTAAAAGTTGTTAAATCAGAACAATTCTAACAAGTATTTGTAAATGCATAAAGCCTGGCCTTTTGCTTTTGCTGGTGTCAGTCAGGAGTGACTTCCTGGCCCACAGAGCCTGGGCTGAGGCTGAAAGAGGGTGATCAGTGTGGAGCTGTCTCAGCCTGGCAGTGGCTGCCCATCTCTACTACCTGAGGCTCCTCTCAGCTCTCCTGCACCTCTATGGGCCCACCAAGACCCTTCTGAGCTGGGCACCTGGGGCTGGGTGTGCAGCAGCCTCTAGGCACTGTTTGGTGGGTGCAGGAGACTCAGCCCCACACAGTAGGGACTGTAATTGCATTTCAAGTAGGGAAATGAGGCTGAAATGAATAGGATTTTGAGTGGATTGGTTCTCTGAGTCACTTCAGATCAATATGCATGGGAGTGGAAGCTCAAATGTGATCAAGTGGTTGCTGTGTTCCCTCCTGTACTAGAGGCAGTTGCATTTGTACGTGCAGTCTGTTCACATTCCTGCTAAGGACCATCTCAGGACGTTGAGTTTTCTGTGTACATATCAGATCTGCATGTTCACTTGGGTCTATTAAACACCTGTACCAGTCTGTGCAGCTCCTTCAATTTTTGCCAGCAGTTTAACTGTAGGAATAACCCCTGCCTGTGCAGCAGGGCCTGGGCTGTGGTGTCTGTCTCAGTTTGCCAAAGGACTGACTGATGTTGTGCTGAGTGTTTGTGCTGCTAAAGCTGCCTTAAGCAGGAACCCACACAAAGCTCATGGCTGGGGCTGTGGCATGGCTGCACCTGAGCGTTTGGACACATGGGTGGCAATTCAAGGTGAGCAAAGGCAGATGGGGGTGCAGGGATTCCTGGGAGCCCCTTTGGGGCTGCAGGAGACCCAGGGCATCTGAGAAGGCCTTGGTGAACAGGGCAGTGTGATTGTAAGGAACTGGAATGCTGACAGTTCATTATTTAACGTTCTTGAAATACTTACAAACGGCACTTGTGCGTGTGGTTGTAACAACTGGGGGAAGGAATCCTGTGGTTAGGAACATGTATGTGGACTTTCAAAACATTAGCGTCCCTGTCATCTGAGCAGGCAGAAATTTGGTAATAAGCAAAACCATGGAAAAGGATAATTGTATAGGTTTGGAAGTGTTTCCCTTGGTCCTTTCTGTTCTCCTATCTGGTGCTAATTAGTAATTAACTTCTAAGTGAAAAGTAGGTGGCACTTGGGGAAAAACAAGATGTGCAGCAGAAAAAACCCTCCAATTAATTATTAAAGTGAGCATATGTGAGCAAAGCAAACTATCAAACAGTGTTGCCACTGGCATAACTCATTCTTGGCTCATCAGGAAGGCTTTTGGAGCTCCCTGAACTGTCAGGTGTCCTCAATTGCCTATCACTGGCTGCTGATGGTTGTGCCTCAGATGTGTCTTGCACAGCTGGAGCCTGGTGACATCCCACAGACTGAAGAGATGCATTTCACCAGTTCAAACCCACGCCAGCTGTGCAATGTGGATACGGCATGGGAAGGCTTGAAGTCCCACTCCTGGAACTGGGCACCAAGCCCTGGCATCGCTGGAAGGGATGTGGGATGGTGGCTCACAGACACTGCCTGGGATGCTGGTGGTGGGCAGCACCTGGTGGGCAGCACCGTATGGGCGGTGCATCTGTCTGTCTGAAATAAGGGCCGCAAGGTCACTTTCCTGGCTGGGAATTACCTGAGGGGTTTTGGGGTTCAGCCGTGAAAACCAGGCATGACCAACCCCTCGGCCTGCCTGGTAGGGCTGTGCCAGCCCAGCCTCTGAGGGAGCCAGCCATGCCTTGCTGGCTGCCCTGTGCCATGCTGTGCTGGCTGTTCTGTCCTGTGCTGTGCTGGCTGCCCTGTGCCATGCTGTGCTGGCTGT